TAATAATTAAGTATTCTGTTAGAACTCAATGATTATACTAATTATATTTTAGATTTTTTATATTTAAAGTAAGATGTTTATCATGTATTTGATTATGTTTATCTGCAGTTAGTTATACGAATTCAGATATTGAGTTTTAATAAGTTGTACTTCCGCATAATCTACTTGTAATCTTGAGTTTTGAGTAACATGCATTAATAAACAGTACTTTATGCATAAAAAATGATTTTTAAGAGTTTTTGTCAAATGCTTTATATTATAGTATAGATAATGTTTCTGTTAGAACTTAATGATTATCCTAATTATATTTTAAATTTTTTAAATTTAAAATGAGATGTTTATTCTGTGTTTGATTATGTTTATCTGCAGTTAGTTATACGAATTCAAAAATAGAGCTTTAATAAGTTGTACTTACGCACAATTTACTTGTAATCTTAAATTTTAAGTACTATGCACAAATTAACAGTACTTCATGCATAAAAATTAATTTTTAAGAATTTTTGTCAAATACTTTATAATAACATTTCAATTTAAATGCAAGAGAGGTAGTATACCAGTTATTGGTGGAGGTATCGGGGGTGTTCCAGGGCCTCTGACCCCACATGTGGCTAGCCGAGGTTACAAGGAAGGTGAAGTGATTTATCACCAATTCTCGCATGCCCTACATCACAAATCCATAATCAATTAATGATTATCATGCATATATTATTACCTTTTACGATAAATTGAATCCTAGAAAATCTCGGATACAATACTTGATGTCACTTTAGGTTTTTAAGATCAGTTTTATAATAAGTTGTTAAAACAAAGTTATTTATACGATCTAATAAGTTTTATCGAGAAGTTTAGCAGCCTAATAGATGCAAAAAGTAAATCGACTTGTTATACTTTTGTGAACTGAGTATATGTGAAACAAACACATTGTGAGACAAAAATATGTTCATTAATATTCTAAATCCTAGTCTTAGATAAAAAAAAATTCATATGAGGCCTCATCAATGAAAACCCAGTAATTTATGATAATCGGAAGATCCAATTTGAACCACTCATCTAAAAAATGTATCATAGCGTGTATTCATGTTGGACTCAAGATGAGAGAAGAAATGGGAGAGATAAAATATTGAAGGTAGAGGAAAGATAAAAAAAATTAATTTACCTAAAATGCTATTTTTAAAAAAAAATTTAAGTCAAAATTATTAATTTTCTAATTTAACATTTGATTTGTGGATGAAATATCTTGCGAGTTCTCCTTTGAATAACTCCATATAAGTACACTCTCATCATTTCTATAAATATATCAATTAATTGGATTGCAAGGGTTGTACAAATACATAAGGTTGTAAAATAAATATACCCTATATATGTGTATATATATATATATATATATGTGTGTGTGTGAAGGTTCAAACGAAAACACCTCTATTTTATGAGAACACAAAAACACCCTTATCACATTTGATAATATTATATTCTGAAAAGCATTGAAGATCCTAAATAACACATGGGATTAGTTATATACCATTCCCCATGCCAAGTAGGGGAAGCCTCCATGGAGATATAGTAGGGATGCAAGTGCAACCGTATGCCAAGTATACGTGTCATGAAGAAACCGATAGAACCACTGCGCCTTTAACTCGGCTACGTTCGAGTATCCTCCACTTCTTGATTCTCCACACTAATTCATTTCATCAATTTCCAAATCAAAGATTACCCACTAATTACAGATGCATATATATATATATATATATATATATATATTATAGAGATGGTAAAATGAATCACCTTTGCAGCAATATACTGGTTGTGACAAAACCAACCCATATGACTGAACCAGAAACCTTCCATTGGGGTATGAGGGTCCTTTTCTGTATCAGCATACTTATGATGGTTCTTGTGGACGCTAACCCAAAATATTGGATCTTTCTGCATGCATTTGTAAATATGACCAATAAACAATTCGCTAGCAGAAAACACGATTAAATGCTATGCTGCAAATGTATGTCAATGTTATAAAATGATTAACGGAACCCACCTGGCCACCATGAACACCACAATACACGATGAAATACTCGAGCCATTTGGGGATCTTGAAACTCCGATGAGTAAGTAGTCTATGATAACCTAGGGTAACACCGAGTCCGGCCAAGATACCCAACACTAGAGTCACCCAAAATGCACCCCAATCGAACACGAATGGTGCACAACAACCCAACACATGCTTCACGATGATCAGACAAAGGTTGGTTATGTCTGCTGAATCCCATTTCCGGAACCAAAACCCTCTCTTCCGCATCTTCTCCAGCTCCAGTATTGGTGTGGACTCGGGTGGTGCCATAGTTACATAATTTGGCATTTTGTTATAAAGCAGGGTGACCTTTGTTGATGGGATTGGAACTTGGGTGTTTCTTCAGTGGTCGGAAAATAAATGGTTGATCCTCCGTTTATGGCTGTTGGTCACAGGAAAGCAGGGATAATTAGCAACATGGCTGTAGCTAGCGACTTAGATGGAGGGGGGATGTGGGCATTATTTATGCGAATTTGTAATTTGATACATATGTTTAAGGTTCTAATTATGTTGGGTCCACTTTGTATCATCCATCGTTCAAGATTATGTTCTCGTTACGTTTCAGGTTCCAATTACGTCAAGTGGGGGCTTTAACAACAAAATTAATTGAAAAGTTTGGATTTAATTACATTTCTAGTTTTAACATGATTTACATGTCTAATGTTGAATCTTTCGTCTTGATCATGGTCCCAATGATTAATACCATTAACCAGGGACGGCCCTGGCCACGTGCAGCCAGTGGGGTCGCACAGGACATCAAAGCCTAAAAGGGCATCAAGTTGTCATTTATTACTAGTTTTGGGTTTAATAATTTGGTAATTGAACAACTGAGCTTTAACTATAAAAACATGTCCAAGACCTAGTAGTGATGAATAATGAATGCACATCGTTGGAAAAAGTTGGAAAAGTTTTTGTTTGTATGAATTAATTTTTTTGTATAAGTTGGAAAAGTTTTTGTTTGATAGAGTTTTTTCACAAACGTAAGGAGCTTTTTTTTAGTTGAAAGGGACATGTTTGGAAAAAAAAAATTTGGCTTTCTATATAAAGCTCCTCCTAAAAGCTTATTGGATAAGTCACTTTCTAGCTATATCATTAAGCCACTACGAAACAGTCATGCATAGTTGAGCGAATAAGCTGTTAGATCCATTAAACTTATTAAGATGCTAACAGATAGGCCCTTAGCCTTTAGTCATTAGACCTGTAACTTTTGAGTTTTTTTACTTTTTGCATACTATGACAATAACTTAGATGTAATTTACTATTTTAGTTTAAAACTAATTATGGTTTTTCTTGTCTTTTAAGTCCCATATATTAAAATAAAGTTTTTATTTTGCTAATTTTAATTTGGAAAAGGTAAAACTGGAAAAGAAGGAAGCATGATCTTAATCCAGGATTTATCATTTATATTTTGTATTCGGGGTTTTGGTTTTTATGTTCTTCTCATTGTATTTTTTTATTATTATAATTAATAAAAATCAACATGATGATGAGATACTTTGTTTGAATAGGTTCTAAATTCTTTAAAAAATCGCATGTTTCGTTGTTTCATTGACTTAAAAAATAGGATTAGGGGCATATTTTATTATTTTCGCACAGGGCATCAAAAATCTTAGGACCGGCCCTGCCATTAACATGAATATCTTAACTCAGTTACATTAGGGATTATTTTATTTTTTTGGTCTATTTTTTATCTTTTTCTTATTTAAAAGAGTAAAAACTATATAAATTGTTTGTGACGATAAATCAACTTTATCGATGACAAAAGTTGTTGCTAAAACCCCTATTTTTTGAGGTACGTCATTGCTTCATGAAATAAAAACGAAAACCGTTGTGTTCCTCATATATACAGAGTATAAAAAGCCGAGAATAAAGTCAATGTTATAAAGTTAAAAGAACTGTTCTTACGATGAATTTCTTAATTCCACACTTCAATAGTGTGTTCTATAAGAATCCGTTGTTGTATGGACACGAGTTGCTCAGAATATTAATCTTAGTATAATGAATATCAAAGWTTACTTGGATGGAATCATCGTACTTACGTAATACAATTTGCTTATAGTTTGTTCATATGAAATTATGGGATCATTTGATTCATTTTAAAGAATGAAAATGATAGGAAATTTATTGAAACACATATTTTCAGTAAATTGTTTTATATTGTTTTGTTTTCTATCCAATATCGTTGTTTAGAAACATTACAACAAAATTGGGTTTATAAAACGTCTCCAATCTCTAAGCATTCCAATAGACTGTTTTATAGGACTTATATTATATGATTAAAATATAAAGCGTCATATCTAAAATCGTGGTAATGAGTTTATATGACGCTTTGTGTGTCTTAACAAGTTTTTTAGGATATTTTTAATATAAAGCTTCACATTAACAACTTTATAGGACACTTTTGAGAAAATGTCCTATAAACTCAATTTTTTATAGAACGGTTTTTCAAATAGTGTCCTATAAAGTTGCTAATGGGACGTTTTATATTAAAAGTGTCCTAAAAACCTTATTACGATGTCAAAAAGCGTCATATAAACTTATTACAACATCTTTAGATAGAACACTTTGTTTTTTGGTCTTATAATAAAGACTTTGTTTTTTGGTCTTATAAACTAAGTCCTATAACTAGATCTATTAGGACGCTTATAAATTGGGAGCATCCTATAAACCCGAAATCCCTCCTCTGCATTTTGCTCCACTTTTTTCTCCCCCACCACAAGACCCACTTGCCTTTTGCAATCACCCGAATCGAACCAACACTTTCTGAAATCAAACCTTCTGCAACCGAATTGAACCAGACCTTCTGAAATCGTCTTTTTCATGATGTTGACGAAAAGAGACACTGACAAAGACAAAGAAGAGATAATGACAAGTTAAATTTTATATTTTTCTGATTTGAAGAAGAATGGTTTTTTACCTCCATAAAATATAGTGATTAATTACATTAACTACAACCAAATCCTATTAATCATTTCATGCACATTATTTGTCTGAGCTTTTGACTGATCAATATATTTGTTAACTTATCGGTCCATTTGATATTCAAAAATTGTAGTAATAAATGGAGAAATAGAGAATGTTGGAATGAACCAGAAAAGTTAATTTCAATTGAGCTAGATATAAGCGTTGGCTAGGTAAGTGTCCTGTAGTAGTATAAGGAGTAAGTCAAATAATGTTGAAATAATGTTACAAGCCCACAATATTTTCTCTCTCCTTCCAACATCAGATACAAAATTTTTTGTTGGGTTTATTTTGGTTCTAACAATTCATAACGTAATTGGGGGTGCTTTTGTTTACTTCATTTGGTAGCGATACAACATCTGAACCTTTTGTGGTACCAGATATATACACTAGTAGTGATCAGTTGAGTTCTGCATTTGAAGAAGTTTGCTTGAGGCTAATAACATCATCTTTATGGCATCCGTCCGTCTTACAAGCAGTAGAAAAAACCTGAAAACTCCTAAACAAAAATGACTAAAACGAAGAGCTTGAAGAGAGATCAAATGGGAAAGACTATTGAAGAACGGAAGATGGAAGGGAGTTTCGAACCACTTTTTATTATGTCATTGTCATATTTTTCTTGTCACATTATTGACACATCAATAAAATAAGAATCTTAATGAAACTGCATAATGAAGGTTCTTACAAAAACCACTTTCCATTCTTTTTTCAAAATGTAGTTTTATTAATAGATTATTATATAGATTAAATATATATTATAAAGTTATAAAAATTCAAATATAATTTATTAAATTTTATTTTTCTATATTAATTTTTGTGTTAGTTTATATAGTTTGTTAACATATTTGAAAAGAATTACAAAATCTATATTAATTTTATAGTAATATAGATCATTCGTAATTTCGATTCGATCAAATATGTTCAACATGGTATATTTTTTGAAAATAGTAAATATAGTTTACAATTATTAATTTATGATTTATAAATTAATTATAATTATATAATTGTTTATATATATATATATATGTGTGTGTGTGTGTGAGAGAAAAATAATCCAAAGCATAATCATATAATTATATAATTAAAAATTAAAATTATTAATGCGAGAACTTAAAACCTAAAACCTAAACCCCTAAAACTTAGGGGTGGCAAAAAAACGACCCAATCCATTAACCCAACCCAGAATTAGCAAGTTGGATTGAAATTTTCAACTCATTTAAATAAATGGGTCAACCCGTCTAACCCATTTAAATAAATGGGTTAGGTTTGGTTGAATTTTTTGACTTGTTTTCAACCCGTTTCAATCTACTTAGAATATTATATAAATTTATTTTATTCTTAATATTATATATATTATATTAATTTTTTATTTTCTATTTTGTTTCTTCTTAAATAAATTGGCCCAAGTTTCAGTATCACAACTCACGAGTTAAACGATGCTTCGATTTTCAATCCTTCATACAATATCAGTAATTCAGTATCATGAGTCTCGCGTCTTCAATTCTCCATCTTCTTTAGTCGATTTTATCAATCTTCGCCCCTTCTTTTGAGTTCTACCTTCTCCAATCAAAGATTTCAGTTGGTTTCAGTTTTCGATTGAGGTTGAGGAGTTGAGGCTTGAGCGATAGCAGAGTCATTCACCATTGCGGAGCTAAAATAAAGAATCTTCCGTCTTCCACTTGTGTTTTGTTGATAGAATCAAACAGTTTCCAACTTGTAATTTAATTTATTTACGTAGTACAAATGAAATCACATTCTGAGGCGCTATGTGGAGCAATCATGACAGAGAAGATAGAAGATCAAGAAAAAAGTAATACCGAGAGTAAAATTGGGGTTGATGAAAGTGGAAGTCGAGTTACTTAGAATTTAAAAAATTTCAACTTATTTTGAACAATATATTTGTTGTGGTTGTGTTTTATTCAAACTTTGAACAATTTGGTTGTATTTGTGGTTGTGTTATGTTTTATTCAAAAAAAGTTAAATAGTCTAGTTCTTTTTTTATTTAAAATTTTAAAATTAAATGGGTCAACCCAGGTTCAACTCATTTATTTAACAGGTTGGATTAAGAATATCGTAAACAGGTCAACTCACTGTCAACCCATTTAAGTAACATGTTGGGTTGAAAAATCTCAACCCATTTAATTAAATGGGTTGGGTCTTCGTTTTTAAGAGATAACCTTACGATTTTTATACGGTTTAAATAAATATTAGACTAAAATATAAATTTTGTTCATTGACTGTATAATAATTTACAGTTTTAGTAAAAAAAAAATCGTAGTCTTTGTAAAAATTGCCAATTTTTAACATTT